TTTTTATTTTTTTGACAGGCAGAGTGGACAGTGAGAGAGAGAGACAGAGAGAAAGGTCTTCCCTTGCCGTTGGTTCACCCTCCAATGGCCGCCGCGGCCGGCGCACCGCGCTGATCCAATGGCAGGAGCCAGGTACCTATCCTGGTCTCCCATGGGGTGCAGGGCCCAAGCACTTGGGCCATCCTCCACTGCACTCCCTGGCCACAGCAGAGAGCTGGCCTGGAAGAGGGGCAACCGGGACAGAATCCGGCGCCCCTACCGGGACTAGAACCTGGTGTGCCGGCGCCGCAAGGCGGAGGATTAGCCTAGTGAGCCACGGCGCTGGCCAATTTAGAGCATTTTTTTAAAAAACATGAGAAAGAGAGAACACTCCCATCCATTGGTTCACTCTCCAAATGCCTGCAACACTTTTCAAATGCCTGGACCGGGGCGGAAGCCAGGAGGTGGGCACTCCATCCAGGTCTCCCACATGGATGATGGAGACCCGAACACTTGCGCCATCACTGCTGCCTCCCAGTGTGTCTGCATTCCAGGAAGCTGGAGTCAGAAGTGGAGCCAGGACTCGAGCCCAGGCACTCTGCCAAGGGGTGTGGGTGTCTCACCCAGAGGCGTATTTAACTGCTGCGCCAAATGCTTCCCCCACCCACCCCTCCAACTTAGGGCTTTTTTTTTTTTTTTTTTGACAGGCAGAGTGGACAGTGAGAGAGAGAGAGAGAGACAGAGAGAAAGGTCTTCCTTTGCCGTTGGTTCACCCTCCAATGGCTGCCAGGGCCGGCGTGCTGCAGCCAGCGCACCGCACTGATCTGAAGGCAGGAGCCAGGTGCTTCTCCGGTCTCCCATGGGGTGCAGGGCCCAAGCACTTGGGCCATCCTCCACTGCACTCCCTGGCCACAGCAGAGAGCTGGCCTGGAAGAGGGGCAACCAGGACAGAATCCGGTTCCCCGACCGGGACTAGAACCCTGTGTGCCGGCGCCGCAAGGCGGAGGATTAGCCTACTGAGTCGTGGTGCTGGCCTTCAACTATGGCTTTTGCTCATAAAGTTCCCTCTGTCTGGAATGCTCCTCATCCATCTCTTTTTCCTGGATGGCTCCCACACACCTCTGGGAGCTCAGCTCAAACGTCACTTCCTCCAAGACATTTTTTTTTCCTTGTCTTCCATCCGGATCTGGCTCCTTGCACTACCTCAATCTTCTACAACACTTTAAGGAATTCTCATAATTATTCTTGCAATGATGCATTCAATGTCTGCCTCTCCCACTACACCAGTGCTAGCCGACAGAGCTTCCTGTAATTATGAAAATGCTCTTGAGGCTGGCACTGTGGTGCAGTAGGCTAAGCCTCTGTCTGTGGCACCAGCATCCCATATGGATGCCAGTTCGTGTCCCAGCTGCTCTTCTTCCAATCCAGCTCTTTGCTATGGCCCGGGAAAGCAGTGGAAGATGGTCCAAGTGATTGGGCCCCTGCACCCACATGGAAGACCCAGAAGAAGCTCCTGGTTCCTGGCTTTGGATCAGCCCAACTTTGGACATTGTGACCTTTTGGGGAGTGAACCAGTGGATGAAAGATCTCTCTCTCTCTCTCTCTCTCTCTGTTTCTCTCTCCCTCCCTCTCTCTCTGTAACTCTGCCTCTCAAATAAATAAATAAATCTTAAAATAAAATGCTCTGGACTATGATATCCAGTAGATTCACCACCAGACATAGGTTCCTACTGGGCATCTCAAATGTGGTTCATATGGTTGAGGGACTTATTTTTTTTTAAAGATTTATTTATTTATTTGAAAGAGTTACACAGAAAGAGGAGAGGCAGAGAGAGAGAGAGAGAGAGAGAGAGAGAGAGAGGTCTTCCATCCGATGGTTCACTCCCCAATTGGCTGCAACTGCCAGAACTGCACCGATCCGAAGCCAGGAGCCAGGAGATTCCTCTGGGTCTCCCATGCGGGTGCAGGAGCCCATGGACTTGGGCCATCTCCTACTGCCTTCCCAGGCCACAGCAGAGAGCTGAATTGGAAGTGGAGCAGCCGGGTCTCGAACCGGCGCCCATATGGGATGCCAGCGCTTCAGGTCAGGGCATTAACCCGCTGCACCACAGCGCTGGCCCCGGGACTTATTTTTTTTTTAATTTCACATGTTTCATATTATACATGATACTATATAAATTATTTCCTTTCTAAATTAAATTATCTTTAAATAGCCACAGGTAGCTGGTGACCGCTATACTAGACATTGCAACTTTGGACTTAGAGCTCTTTAAGGGCAAAAATCATTCTACCTCATTCAGCTGTAGAATCCTTTGTATGTAGGCAGCTCCCTCAGTAAATCACTGAAGGAATGAATGAATGTGGTCTGCAAAAGTTACTTTCAAGAAAGTGTCCTAGAAGGAAGAAAACTAGAAAAGTCTGAGTTGCACAAGACCAAATTTAAGGTAGAACTGGATGTTAAGTCTCTGCCTCCTACTCTCCTGTCCGTGGGACCATTCCTGAGTGGACAGCCAGTGAAAGACAAGGGTTACTTGTGGTCTCAAATGAGCCAACCCAGAGCAGTGCAAAGGTGCCCCCAAGTGCAAGGAAGGACTGTTTTCTTAGACGCCCTCATCCTCTTCACCCCTCCCCCAACCCTGTAAACGACTTAGTGGTTTATAATCTATTAACACTTGGCCTCCCATGGGACTGAGTCTGTTCCAAAGTCCACTCTTGCCAACCCTCTACAAAGCACTGTGAATCTTTTTTTCCAACCATATTGCTCTCAGGAAATCTGCTGCCTACAATATGTGCATAATGTGCACAGGGTGTGGTTTCAAAAGCATCTTAAGTCGTGATTTGTAACCCACTCAGATTCACATACCCATTCTTTTCACTTTACTTTTTTAATATATAAAAATTGAAGACAACACATTTCAGGGCTAATTCTGATTTCATTCAAATATAGGCTGTGGTTTGCAGATTGCAGTTTTGGGGAGTCCAGCATAGCAAAGACACCTATTTTGTTTTCATAAATTATTTTTCAGGTGTGAAATAGCAACAATAGCTGATAGGTGTTGAGTGCTTTGTGTCTTGCAAGAATTTAACATGTATTATCTCAGTTTATCATCACAATTCATTTATGAATCAAGTACTGTTTTGGTCCTCATGGTATACAGCTAGGGAAGCTAGGTCTCAGGCTGAATCACTTGTTTGAAGTCAACACGGTCAGCAACTGGCAGAGTCAAGATTTGAACCCAAGTCTGACTCAAGAGCCAATGTTCTTAACTGGCATAGAGTTTGGCCCCTCTAACAGATATTGCATATACTTGTGTCTATAAAACATCAGAAAGAATAATCAAGACACTTGACTCTGGGGACTAGGGTTGGGGCTGGCGAAGAGGATGCCTGCTTTTCATTCTTGCCCTTCTCTCTGATCTTTACTGACTATCTATATACTGTATTGGTCACTACATATTCACATCAAAACTATATAAACACCTATGTTTCAGTAAGTCAGAAAAAACACTCTCATCCTATTTTTGCTATTTTAAATTAGGGTAGGAATTACCATGATAATGTCATGTCTATTTATTAGTAGGTTAAATATATGTGAATCTTTTGCAAAGTTACATGCTCTGGCATTGTTTGAAAATGTGTCTCAGTAAAACTGCAGTTTCAATATGTATTTTTATTCTGAATATTAAATCTCATATTTTCATTTTTGAATTATTTTTTTATTTTGAATTTGGGCTTTGAACATGATATTTATTTTCAGGAAAAACTGGCATGTTTTCTTTGAGATTTACACTCACATATTTACGTTTTTATACACAACCTTTGGATATTTTAACCAGCTACCCTGTTAGCATTTGTGAAATAATGCTGCATTACATAACAAGATATGCCATTTGTGGATCAATTAATAAGAGCTGAAAACTAAAATTTTAAATTCATTAAGATTTTAAATGAAAATTAATTTTGTGCTGATTGGAAAGTAAATATTCCAATCCCTTCAGTACTCAGAGGCTCAGAGAACTGTTATCAGTCACACTAAGAGTCACTTGGGAGAATTCTTCAGTAGCTCAGACACACCATTTTTTAAGTCAAGAAAATGCACACATGCTAACAATAACACATCCTTTCCAACAAACCCAAGTGGAGTCTACTTGTATCATCCAAATGGCTAGTGATGCTAAGAATTAAAACAAAAACCCCCAGAAATGTTCTTTTTAATGCCCCCCTCATACTCTTGGAATTTGCTGAACGAATCACCATCTGCTTGTGGTAGGAAAAAAAATCTGTAAACCCCACCACAGGCCCCTGTTCACTTCCATCGCTTGGTTGTATTCCCCCCAAGATCCTCAGAGCAAATCTGATATCCTTAGAAAATCCCCTTCCTCAGAGGGAAGTGTCTCCCTGATATTTCCAAGACGAGTCTCACTCTAGCTGGCTGTTAAAAAAAAAAAACCTTTCATTCAGAAGAAAGCAAGAGGGCTCAGCGATGGGTGCACAGCCCTCTCATTCACACACTTCATAAACAACAGGACTTGCCCAAGCCTTTTCCTCTGGGAAGAAATCCCAGCCTTTGAGAAACTAGGCTGCAACATCGGTATCCTTCCTGTCCAAAAGCACTTGCAGAAAAATCAGGAATTTCACAGCACAGGAGGTCTGGAGAGGATGGATGTCATCGCATGGACTCGTCCATTCAGTTTACATTTCCAAAGGTGGCTACCGTTTCTTAAATGCACAGACCAGGACACCGTTTAAGATTGAGGGCCATTAAAATGGAAAGTGGAGCCCCGGTAAGCCTCCCCCACCCCCAACAAGATCCTGACAGCTCTGAAAAAAATTGAACTGAGTCAGAGATCCAGAGACTGGGCTGCTGGGGTAGGGAAATGGCTTTCCTCCTCCAGGCCTAATTCCTGCCTCCGAAATCGTTCCCTGTAAATCCAAGAAGCCATGCAGAGACGCCCCCCCTGCAGGCTTTCTTGTTTGCAAAGAAAGCCCGAGTGCCTCTCGCTCGCCCCCAGGATACTCACGGCAGCTGCCTGAGCTGGAATAAGTCCTCCTCCATGTCCGCGCTGCGCCACGACCAGTCCTTCTCATGGCCCTTACATGGTAGTGCTGGAGGACGAGCGCTCGGGGTTTCAGCACCGGGGTACTGGACAGCTCCCGCGCCGCGCGCCTCCCTCGGGCGGCAGCTGCTCAGGGGAGGGAGCCGCCGGGGACCAGCCCACGAGACAAAGCCGCCGCCGCTGGGAGACCGCGGAGAGAGTGGGCGGAGAGGAGGAGGGAGCGCAGAGCAGGCTGCGCGGGGGAGGGGGCGGGCAGAGCTCCCAGGGACCGACAGCCTCCGTGTGGCTGGTGGCCTTGCCGGGTGCCAGTAGGGCACACGGGCCTGGCAGTCGCTAGCGCATAGCTCTCTGGATGTTTATTTTTAGGAATTCATGAATCTTATCCGTATACTATTCTTGAAACCTAGGCTGCTATACCAAAAACAGGGTATGAATAATTTCTGAAAAACGCACTCATGATTTCAGTGACTGCACACTGAGCACCTACTGTGTGCCAGGCAGTGTCATAGGCGCTGGGCTGAGAACAGAGCGAACGGGGCATGTTGTCATCGTGGAGCCGGAATGATTGCAGTGCAATGATTCAAGGGAAGAAATGCAAGTGCACAAGGAGAAGGCCAAAGATCACTCGTTTGTGCATTCAACAAGCATTATGGAGGGATGTCTACAGTCCTGACTCTGGGGAACTGGGGATGAATAAGGCAAAGTCTTTCACCTGCAGGGCCCTTCTTAGAGAGTTCAGGGGCTCCCAGCCCACCTCCCACTAGGATTTTTGCCCATCTTTGGAACTTGAGCTCCATGAGCTGTCACCGATATGTCCCAAAAACCTAGACCCATGACTGGTACAGGGAAGATGCTCTGTGAATACTGAATAAATGAATGGCTCTGGAGTCAAGCTCCGTGTAAGAATCACCTGGTTCCCTCCCAGACCAATGGACTCCAACTTATTTTTAAAGATACCAATTTGTAGATTTATTTGTTTGTTTGAAAGGTGGGGTGACAGAGACACATAGAGCGAACAGAGAGATCTTTCATCTGCTGGTTCACTCCCTACATGGCCACAACAACTAGATCTGGAACAGGCTGAAGCCAAGAGCCAGGAAGTCCATCTGGGGTTCCCACATGGGTGGCAGGGACCCAATTATTTGAGACATCACCTGGTGCCTCCCAAGGTCTACAGTAGCAGGAAGTTGGAGTCAGGAGCCAGAGCAGGGGATTTGAACCCAGATGCCCTGATATGAGATGTGGTATCTTAACGAGTACTTTAACCACCAGGCCAAATGTCTGCTATCCGTTCCAAAGTATCTTTTCTATTTCTTCAAAACATTACCTTGCCTATAAAGGAAAGTATGGATGGTGTTTCAGAGAGAACTAAGTCCTCATCAAGCTTATGGAAGTCAACAGAAAATACTTGAAACCAAGGAAACAAAACCTAGCCATGTGCACACCTTGTTTAGAAGTACAGCAGTACCAAAAAGGGGAGTTAAAATACTGAGGGTGGGGTGGAGAGATGGGGACTGGAGACATTTTTTGAAATTGTAAATTTTGGGGGTGCTAGTTTATTTTGAAGACCATGTACAGGGCTGGTGTTGTTGTATAGCAGGTTAAGCCGCTGCCTTTGTTGCCTGCATCCTATATTTGAGTGCTGGGTTTGAATCCCGATTACTCCACTTCCAATTCAGCTCCCTGTAATGTGCAGGAAGGCAGTGGAAGGTGGACTCCTGCACCCATGTGGTGGGAGGCCGAGATGGAATTCCAGGCTCCTGGCTTTGGCCTGGCTCAGCCCTAGCCATTGCAGCCATTTGGGTAATGAGTGAACCAGTGGATGGAAGATCTCTTCCTCTCTCTCTCTATCTCTCCTTCTCTCTGTCACTCTGCCTTTCAAGTAAAAAAAAATCCTTTTTTAAAAGAAAAAAGTATATGCATATTGTTACCATGATATTTAAAAATACTTGTAGTAAAATATATGTCTAACAAGGTACCACAGTCTGCATGGCTTAAACAGCAGAAATTTAGTTCTCAGAGTTCTGCAGGCTGGAAAGTCCAAGACCAGGGTTCTGGTTCGTTTGGGTTTTGGGGAGAGCACACTGCCGGGCTTGCAGACGTCGGCTGGCTGCTGTGCCTTCACTCTGGCTGCCCTTAGTGCAGAGGGAGAGGAAGCAAGCTCTCAGACATCTCTACCTAGGAGGGCGCTGTCCTCATCGTGGGGTCCCGCCCTCATCTCCCGACATCCTCTAACCCCAGTTACTTCTCAAAGGGCCAGTCTCTGAATACCGTTGCACAGGGGCTAGGGCATCAGTTTCTGCACTGGGGTTGGGGAAGCACAAGCTTTTCCACTTTAGCCATTTCTAAGTGTCCAAGTCAGTGGTGATAAGGGCACTCACAGTGGTATGTAACTGTCACTGATATCTATTCCTGGAAGTTTCTTTTTTAAATGTTTATTTTATTCATTTGAAGTTGGAGTTAGAGAGAGATCTCTGATCCACTGGTTCCATTCACACCCATATGGGACACTGGCATCGCAGGTGGCAGCTTAACTCACTAGGCCACAGCACTGGTGCCCAGAGTTTTTCTTTTGTCATCCTAAAGAGAAGCTCTGTACTCATTCAACAATAACTCCCCATTCCTCTTCCACCCTTGTGTTTTCTTTTTTTAATTAATTAATTAGTTTTCATCTGAAAGGCAGAGTTACAGAGAGAGGGAGAGATAGAGAAATCTTCCATCTGCTCGTTCACTCCCCTGTTGGCCACAATGGCTAGAGCCAAGTTGGGTCAGGCTGAAGCAAGGAGCCAGGAGCTTCACCTGGGTTCTGGGTTTCTCACATGGGTACGGGGGCCCAAGCACTTGGACAGGACTCAAATTGGCACCATATGAGATATCTGTGCTGCAGATGGTGGTTTAACCCACTACACCACAGCAACGGCCCCCAGTAACTTCCGATCTACTTTCTGTCTATTGCCTATTCCACTCATATAGTTGTCCCTTTGTGTGCAGCTTAGTTCACTCAGCATAATGTGTTTTATTGTTTGTTTAAAAAATTTCTTTATTTTTTAAAATAAATCTTTTTTAAGAAAGATTTTTATTTGAAAGTCAGAGTTACACACAGAGAGAAAGAGAGGCAGGGAGAGAAAGAGAAGGAGAGAGAGAGGTCTTCCATCTGCTGGTTCACTCCCCAATCGGCTGTGATGGCCGGAGCTGCACCTATCTGAAGTCAGGAGCAAGGAGCTTCCTCCGGGTCTTCCACACAGGTGCAGGGGCCAAAGGACTTGGGCCATCTTCTACTGCTTTCCCAGGCCATAGCAGAGAGTTGGATCAGAAGAGGAACAGTAATGGCACCCATATGGGATGCCAACACTTCAGGCCAGGGCTTTAACCTGCTGTACCATGGCGCCGGCCTCCTTTTAATTAGTTTTTAACAGATTCAATAGAGTTCATAGATACGATTCTAAGAACATAATGATGTTCCCTCCTTCCCACCCTCCTTTCCTCTCCCTTTATTTTTTTAGTTTTTGAGATTATCTTTAGTTCTTTAAAAGGACCTTTAAAAGCCTACATTTGCTTTTATTTTTTAAGATGTGGCACTATTTGAAAAATATTTTATTTATTGGGGCTAGCATTGTGGTACAAAGAGTTAAGCTTCTGCCAGAGATGCCAGCATCCCATATTGGAGCACTGGTTGAGTCCTGGCTGCTCTACTTCCAATCCAACTCCTTGCCAATGTGCCTGGGAAAGAGCAGAAAATGGCTCAAGTGCTTGGGCCCCTGTCCCCTTGTGGGAGACCCAGATGAAGCTCCTCCTGGCTCTTTGCTTTCTCCCCACCTATCTCCAGCTGTTGCAGCCATCTGGGGAGTGAACCAGCAGATGGAAGAATTCTTTCTCTGTGTCTCTCCCTCTCTCTTTGTAACTCCACCTTTCAAATAAGTAAACAAATAAATCTTTTAAAAATATTTTACTTATTTTAATTTTTTTATTTATTTGAAGCACAGAGGAAGAGAGAGAGGAAGAGAGAGATCTTGTAACTCTTGGTTCACTCCCCAAAAGTCCTCAACAGCCAGAGTTGGCCAGGCCAAAGCCAGGGGCTGGAACTCAGTCTGGATCTCCCACGTGGGTGGCAGAGACACACGCATTTTAGCTGTCACCTGCTGCTTCCAGGCAGGAAACTGGAGTTGGAAGTAGGGCCAGGGGCAGCGCTGTGACATAGAGGGTAAAGCTGCCACCTGTGGTGCCAGCATCCCATGTGAGCGCTGGTTTGAGTCCTAGCTGCTCCACTTCCCACCCAGCTCCCTGCTAATGTGCCTGGGAAAGCACTAGAAGATGGCCCAAGTGCCTGGGCCCATGTACCCACATGGGAGACCCAGAAAAAGCTCCTGGCTCCTGGCTCCTGGCTTTGGATTGGCCCAGGCCATAATGGCCATCTGGGGAGTAAACCAACAGACGGAAAACCTCTCTTTGTCTCTCCCCTCTCTCTCTGTAACTCTTCTATTGCCTTTCGAATAAATAAATAAATAAAATCTTAAAAAAAAAAAAAAGAATGAAAGAAAAAAAGAAAGAGATCCAGGACTTGACCCAGACTCTCTGGTATTGGATGTGAATGTCCCTCGGAGTGTCTTAACCACCACATCAAACACTCACCCCTGCTCTATGTTTAAAGCTCTTTTGAAAATCCAACATTATTCACAAATAAAAAATGTATTTAAAACACACAAAAAAACCAAGCTTTTAAATCAACTTAATATGCTTTACAGAACTAGATAAAAATGTTCACTGTCTATTGAAATTTTTAATTTATTAATGTGGCTATGTATATGTAAAATGGTGTATTACCTAAAACAATAACTCATTCTCAAATGCTCCTTTTCCTCATTACATTTATGGAGCGATTTTGTTCCAACCGTACACATATATCTTTGGCGGCAGTGCCTTTGTCATGCTGGGTCGACTTTTCTATTCACTTAACTCAGTTTTTTCCAGAGCATGTAATCATCACTTCTGTCTCAGCTGTTTGAGATATACCACTTTAAAAAATTGCCACTGTCAGTTCCCATAAAACTTAAACGAAAGGGCTGGTGTTGTGGTGCAGAGGATTAATCCGCCGCTGTGACACCGGCATCCCATGTGGGAGTGCTGGTTTGAGTCCTGGTTATTCCACTTTGGATCCAGCTCCCTGCTAATATGCTTGGGAAGCAGCAGAAGATGGACCAAGTGCTTGAGCCCCTGTCAATCACATGGCCTAGCCCTGGCTGTTGCGGCCATTTGAGGAGTGAGCCAGCAGATGGAAGATTTCTCTCTTGCTCTCTCTAGCTCTCTAGCTCTCTCTCTCTCTCTCTCTCTTACCCCCTCCCTCCCCCCTC